CTTCACATCCACCAATTTTGGTATAACGTGAAATGAGTGGATATCGAAGGCATAAGACTGGTTCAAACATGATAATCATCACATTCGTGGCATGAAATAGCATGACTACATACCACGCTCATGATGCGCTCGCGGATGTTGATAGCAAGCGCATCACATGTACTAAATCTGATGTAAGTGACCTGAGTGGATGACGAAGGTACTTGACGGGTGCAAACATGATAACCATGACATGCGTGTCACGTAAGAACATCACTACATATACCAGGCTCATGATGCGCTCCCGGCCGTTTCGCTAGCTTCACATATACCGAATTCGGTATTAAGTGACGTGAATGGACGACGAAGGTAAAGGCACGCCCAAACATGATAATCATGACATGCCTGTCATGTAAAACACGACTACATATGCTGCACTCGTAGCGCGCTCGCTGCCGTTTCGCTAGCACATGTACCGGATTTGGTGTTACGTGGCGTGAATGGACAACGAACCAAAATGCCAGGCGCAAACGTCATAATCACGGCATGTAAGTCATGTACGGCATAATTTACGTCCGCCTCGTAACGTTCCGCTTATTTTAAAGTGACATATATACCTTCCTCATTTGTGCTTCACATATCACCGAATTAAGAACGGTGAAAGCACATTAAGAACGAATACACAGAGAATGCCCACAAACACACACACATAGCGCTGCATTAGTGTGTGCGCCTTGTGTCTTCCTTTTCATTGTTCTTTAAGCGCCCAGATGTCCACCTTGGTGATATATTTCAGGCTTTACTGCTACAGTCCACGCGTAAGAAACGTACGTAAGTGATTCACTGACTAGAGTCGTAGCGAGAAATTGTCTTGTCTTGTCGCCTAGAAGATCTTGGCTCATACCCACAAGGGGGATTGGCCACATTGTACCTTATAATAGATATTTTTTGTACAACGCTTGCTAAAAAAGAGAAAAATTAGATAAGAACAATTATAATGTTCCTTCGAAAAAACGTGAAAAAGTGCAGGAGAATTCGATAAACCAGAATATATAAAACAAATTAACAAGAATGAGGAAGGGGGAGAAAGAATTTGATATATCTGGCAGTACCACTAGCAGCGTATCCTTCCGGTTGCCTGAATGAATTTATGTAGCGCTGACAGAATAGCACTGCCGCCCACACCCAACTGACTGGCTCCAAACGATAATAGGGTGGATGTATTGACTGGCAATCCGAGCATACCAATCGGTCTTTCAAGAATTATTCGGCGCAGTGAGGCGAAGCGGTGGCATGTGAGAAGAAAGTGATCTATTGTTTCCGGTTCATTGCAAACTACACATAGGTTAGTTAATGAAAATCCGGAATTGTTGAGATAAAAATTTAACAGAGGAACTCTACAGCGAAAGCTTGTGAGGGTCACCTCACATTGACGGGAAAGGCATTTTGCGGTGTTCCATGTGAATTGCAAGTGCCGAAATTCTTCAGATTGTAGAAGCGACGTTTCGTTGATTTTTAAGATTAACAGGCATTTGAATCGTTCGGCAGTAATAAAAGGAAACTGTGGAGCTACTAGCACCACCGAGAAATTTAAAGATGCCGAAGCGAGCGAATCAGCCATTTCATTTAGTACAATTCCAGCATGCCCGGGGACCCAAATAAACCGAACTTCTGATAGGCTATGCGGTACTAGAGACCAAATTATCCTGAGAAGAGGAGACTTCTTTGCGGACGTTACATGTGTACATACAGACAAAGCATCCGAAATAATAATAGCTTTTGATTGCTGAGAATTTAGTTTTCGAAGAGCCAATGTAACAGCTATAGGTATTCTGCGAGATAAATTGGTGTGAAGTCAGGCAGTCGGAGCGCAAAAGACCAATTAAGCTTATGAGAAAAATTACCTACCCCAGCCTTCTGAAGATTTTGCGTTGCATCCGTCGAAATTACTACCTAATTGGGAAAATGATTGAGATGGTCTTGAAGGAGGCCCTCCAGAACATGCTTTGGAAGTAACTTGGCGTTTTTCGGAAAAATGTCATCGAAAGTTAAGCAAACTGGCACAGAGCATAGCGTATGGGGAGGTAAATCTTGGAGGGAAACGTGAAGATTTGATAACAAAGACTCGACGAAAATGACTTGGGCTCTTTGATAACGACACCACAGGTGCTTAAAGAAAAAAACTGGGTATTTGATGAAAACTGTCTGTGAACAGAAGAGGGGCGCATCGTAGAGTTTTAAAAAACGTTTGCACAGTAAGCTATCGAAATCTATCATCAAGTGGAATGATTCGAGCATGCTATTCGCGACACACCTAGGTAGCCCGGGACACAGCCGCAGAGCTTGCCTTTCTAGCAATATAAAAGGTCTTAATTTGTACTCGGCACTTCCGGAAAACAGAACGCAACCAAACTCCAGAATTGGGCGTATGTAAAGTTTGTATATCTTAAGTTACGTAGCCCTGCGCATCCCTGAATTCTTATTGCAAAACCGGCGTAGCAGTCCTAGGGCGCTTTCTGCTTTACGGGTGTTTGATTCTATTTGTTGCTGCTAGTTTAAATTGTCCACGTAAACAATGCCAAGATATTGTAGTGCTGTTACTTATGGAATCAGATTATTTCGATAATGCAGTGAAAGAAATACGGGGACGGATAGAGAGAATACAAGCAGAGCACATTTGCTAACATTAAGTGAAAAAGACAGCCCGCCAAGCCATACCTCAAGCTCACTCAAATATGACTGCAACGTTTGATATAAACTATCGATATCTCGGGACGACTAGGTAAAAAAAAACAATATCATCGGCGTATAGACGTAAAAAGGAACATTTTTTAGAACGAGCATGGATGATAATAAGATAATAAATAAAAGAGGTGACAGGACTGATCCTTGCGGCACACCTCTTGTTTGCTTATATGAGGCAGAAGTAATTCCCTCGTGGCAACAAAAGAATTGTCTCTCATGGAGAAACTCCTGAACCCAAGATATAATTCACTTGGGCAACTCACAATCCACTAATCTTGAAATTAATGTGCAGTGTTCCACACTATCGTAGATTCATGCAATATCTAACGTGACTAATGCAGAAAGCTCACCAGATACTTTTGCAAGGCGAATTCGGCTTTCCAAATCAACATGAGCCGACCATATAGAGCCCCCCTGTCTAAATCCTACCTGCCTTGGTGAAAGGATGTCCTGACGAGCGATTAATTCACTGAGCCTTCTATGAAGAATTTTTTTTAATTATTTTAACGAAGTTTTAAGTAAGCGACATTGGCTGAATGTTATCCAGGACATATCCGAGGCTTTAATTTTTTCGCAGCAACACAACTTTAGCAATTTTCCATGCGCTTGGAATCCATGTGTGTTGTAAGGAGCAGTTAACAATATTCAAAAGCTCATCGGGATGGGAATTACATATCAATTTAATCATAGAGTTTGTAATCTGATCTGGACTGGGAGCCGCTTGATTTACAGTTAGTATGACATCTTACAGTTCCGCCATAGTGACTTCCCGAAAGTCCGAGGTTGAGCTTTTGAATGTCATAGGTCTCAAGCATGACGAAGCGAAACGCACTTCAAGTCCTTTCGCAATGCCCTCTAACAATAAATCGGTTGTCTCTTTAGGAGACAGCACTACTGAATGCGAATATGCTGGTACCTGCGTCGTTTTTTTTTTTTGTTCCGTAGAAACCTGTACAGGGCAGATCTTTTATCAGGTTTTGATAAACGCGAATGTAAGTCAGATTTGTGTTTATCTTTAGCTATAGCAACTGTACGCTTAAACAGTGCTGCGTGGAATTTATAGTCAACCCAATTTTTCGGTGTATGGTTGTGGCGTAAACGCTTCCAAGCAGCTTTACGTCGCCTGTTCTTTTCGATGAGGTACACTCATCTTTTACATACATTCGCGCAAGAGCACGCGTATGTATATACACATGCGAAATAACAAAAATTTCGGTGAGAAGGTTTGCAGCAGCTTAATTCTTTGAGAATGTGTAGCACTACAACTTGCGCTGAAAACAGTTGTACGTGAAAAATACACTCACACACCTTCATGATAAATCAACAAATTTCCTAATTTTCACATGACGGGAAGAAAACGCCACCATGTTGGTCTGCGCGCGGAAGTACAGAGGCTGCCGTCATTGCTTCGGCAGCGCATTTTGGGGGGATCGCGTCAATTCGCGCAGCCCAAAAAGCGCTATGGCGGCGCCCAGGGAGCCGTTTTTGAGAAGGTTATAGATGCCTGTTGACAAGAATGCATTTACCCGCTAAATATTGGTGCACTCACCGGGAAAAATATGTAGTCGTGGCGAGCAAATTGATTAGAACAAACCACTATTGTGTCGGTCTTCTGTGTTCAATGTTTCAGATCAACTCCATTATCTATCGCGCGCCTTATGCATCCTCTGGGAAGTGATAGCCATCTTTCAACCGCTTTGCCACGCAATGCTGCACACAGCAGTTGTTTGGACGTAGATTCTTTTCTTTTTTGGGCTCGCGTGTGAGCGGCTGCTTTTCAACGCGCGCAACGCGATGCGTGATAACATAAATATCTTCAAGAATCATGCTCCACAGAACACCTATATATGGTTTGCCCTGTTTGCGCCGTTTTCTGACGTGGCCGTTTGGTAGCGAGCGCTCAGTTGGAAGAAAAACAAGGAAGTTTTCTTTTTGTTTTTTTTTTATGTCGAGCTTGGCGGCGCATACGTCACCACCAAATTATAAAGGTGACGCTCAAGCATTTATCTATCCATCCATTGCGACTTCTCGCCCATTTGAAAGCGCCTAATTCAAAATGGGCGTGATCAAAAGTCGCCACATTCCGTGTTCAGTTCCCCCGCGACTTTGCGGGCGTTGTGAAGTGGCACCAACAGCAGTAATCATGCATAGACTACCACTCTAACAAAGAGAAATAAACGAGTACAAACTCGTGAAAATGAGAATGAAAAAGAAACCGAAACCGTTTCAGTTGGCAGTAAAGCCAATCCGATTCCAGCATTGGCCAGTAATGTCGTAAGCATGATGGGTGATTGCACCGGCCACCTGCGGGAAAGCGGACGACAAATCGCTCATTTATTTGGAGTCTCGCATGTCACAACACCTGTGTCGCAGGACGGTGTCGTGGGATGGCGATTCAGCAGGTTGTACTAATCGTGTTCGTGGCCGTTGTGGTGTTCGGCGATAACCAGTGCTCAGATCAATCGGAGTCGAAGGTGGTGGACGTAGAAAACGACGATGGCCAGAGCGCGGGCGACTCGTCGTCTTGCGGTTGCAATCAGCTGAAGAGATCGACCAACTCCGGCGGTGAAAACCACGACGAAAAGGCGAGGCTGGATTCTGAAAATGCGGCGTTGAATCCCACGAGATCTAAGAACGATGGTGGGTGCCGATGCCGACTGGTACATGTTCTGTTAGCTCTCTCTACAAGGGGAAATACGCCGCAGTAATCAGGCCACTAAAACGCTTTTTCGTACAAGCCTGCTTTTTCGTACAAGCCTGCGCTGCGACTTAACGAACTCTGAAATACTGCTACGTCCATGAGTGCATTTTATAACGCACAGAAATATGACTATAAAAAGCAGGTGAGCCTTTGCTTGAGGGGAAAGTATGTAGCTCCCGGTGGTAGCGTTGAACATAACTTATGCGATGTGGTTAAACGAGCTCGTCTTAACAACATCATTTCCTCGAGGAAACGAGCTCGTATTTCAATGATGCCTCTGTGTCGAGGTCGTATTTAAATTGTTTTCCCTCGAGAAATCATTCAAACGAGGAAAACCACCATCTGTGGTGCCCTCGTTTTGCGTTCTGCTGTCTGACTGCGAGGGGCGGGTAAACATCCGCGGCAGTGGCGGAAAGTATATTTTTTTCTTGTTTGTTGCGCACAGCAGTGAGTCGCTTTAATCTCTGGTTGCGCCATCTCATGCTCGCAATTTAAGGCACTTTTCCTCGTCATGTACCTCACATCTTGACTTTAAGAGGGTTGTAGTATTGACCTGATTCTACTCTATTTTCTTTATTTCATTTATGCTAGATTTCTCTTTGATAAATTTTACCGTATTATCAGATTAGAAACGCAGAACAAGTTTGTCAATGAACAGCACTGTTCCTGAACAAAAACGCTCTGCTTTGGTTCATGCAGAGGCAGCCAAAGTCACGCCTGCAATGAGATTCTCAAGGTCATTTAGCAGAATAAATATTTGGACATCACTACAAGATTATTTGCTAAGGATTATGCTGTTTACAAGAGTGGAAGCTCGGGCTAGTTGGTATGTTATCACACCGGCAAGTTTTTCTAGCACGCTAACATATGATAAAAGGGCCGAGTAGACAGAAAGAGTAGCGACTTGCAACTAACTTCTTCATTTCCCAGAGTGCCAAAATATATGTGTAGAAAAGGATGATAAACAATGGGAAGATGAAAGACCAGCCCAATCAATGCACGTTTGACGGGTCCTCGATGGCCCTTAAGCTCAGCCAGGTGATCACGTTCTTACTGTGATAATGCGACTGATAAGAGCTTAGGCAGTTTTTATCTAGTAAGTGAATTTTTTCTGCTTCAAGAACCTAATGATAATGGCAAGCTGAGCCTTGCCATTATCACGCACCGACTGAGGAGAAGGTCCCAACCATTGCCAAGACTGAGCGTGTCCCCCTCAGAAAAAGAAAATCATTTCAGGCGTAAGTAGCCAAAACCACCTTGAGAGCAGCTACCAATAAGGCAAGAGGGGTGACAAACAATAGTCCTCGCCGGGTGCTAATAGGGGTATTACGTGTCCTGCAAAAGTTCTCAGATGCCAACAATACTTGCTTGACCTCTGCAACATCACGAGGGGACCCCCTGGCTACATCAAAACACAGAAAACATCGATTAGACCTGAATACTCTTACGACCACGTACCCTTACTTTAAAAATATTTTATAGGCAATGCTCGTCACTTTCTAGTTTACTTTGAGCTTTTCAAATATTTTTAAAAATAACAAGCTGTTATAATGAAATGATGTGGCATTATACACCTTCTCTGTGTTTGTACGACATTCTGTGCGCCTGCTCCCAAGTTTGCCTGTGTCCTAAGTGGCTTGTCCCAGTGTCATTGCTTTCTTGATACCTAAGCCAAGTCATCAAAAGGATCACTATGCATATGCACGGCCGCTACGAGTAGCAGTGCGCATCATTTCTGAGATGAAGTGCAGGTAGCAAAACTATGTTGCTCCAAAATCTTAGTGACCTGAAAACTGCATGCACAATTGCATGAGCACCCTGAAAAGTTGCTTAAGACAGGCTGGCGAGCATAAGATCAGTACTTCATGCGAAGGCAGCACCATAGAGTTTCCCAAAATTTACTAGAGAGGGCTCTGGTGCTGCGATCATTCAGCAACCATGGGAAGGGTGGGTAGTACAAGGATTCACCTAGTCTTTGTACTTGTGGGCGGCAAATCACACTTGTGGCTTTGTTTATTGGTGCGTTTCAGTTTTGTTTTGAAGGAAAAGATGAACCTTTTCTAACTTTGTGACCTGATTTGAACTGGTAAGCCTAAAAGAATAAGGTGGTGAAGTGCAACCACTGAACAGTTGCTGATTTTTGTTTCGTGACGTAATAGCTTCAAGCCACACGAACACACACAGAGCCAGAAATACGATTATTCCCATGCTTGCTGAAGCGCGGTGTGTTGCAGCTCCCATAGACACTAGCACCAGAGTTCCCTCTAGTGTATACTTGGGAAACTCTCTGGGCAGCACCACTTTAATGCATACTACTAACGTAGGCCTCTAATAAAAGTTTTATGAAGTATTATTAATACGAACTGTCATTACCAAGAAAAACAAGGGAAGCGCGGGTAGAGAAGGAAGACGACATTGCTTCTACTATGATCGCGGACTCAGTGCCTATTAAAAAACTCTCTTAAGTTACCTTACCTTACGTAACAATTTGGTGGAAGGTGCTGGGTAGGATGAACCCAAAGACGGGAGCCTCACTACCAGGACTTCGTCGCAGCCGCCGCCTCTCTGGACTCCCACCTTCGCCGATCGTAATGGCACAAGAGCAGCCATCCAACGCTTTGAGGCCAACTTCGATGGGTTCCGTGCTGTACTACAGAGTGCCACCAAACTTCTGTGGGACCTCAGGAAAAGACGTCGACTTGTGGCTCAAGAACTACAAGCAAGTGAGCAGAAGCAATGGCTAGGACTTGAATGAACAGCTCAATCATATTGTATTCTCGTTAACTGACACCGCCCTCATGTGGTACGAGAACCACGAGGACATGTTCACGACTTGGGAACGTTTTGTTGAAGAAGTGCAGAAGTGCTTCGGTGATTCTGACGCAAAGAAAAAACGCGCGGAGCAGACATTGTCTCAGAGGGCACAGCTTCCAGGAGAAACATGTACGAACTACATCGAAGAAATCTTGAAGCTGTTTAATATCGTGAATGTAAGGATGTCTGAAGAAGACAAGATTGGACACGTTCTCAAGGGTATAGCCGAAGACGTGTACAATTTTTTAATTGGGAAAGACTGCTTAAACTTTGTGTCTGACGTGATGAAGCACTGTCGTACCTTTGAATCTGTCAAGATGCCACGAATTTCTCTAAAATTCGGTCGCCTGTCCAACACTGTAGCTAGTGTTGAAACAGTGCCGCCTGACTGACCTTTCTTTGACCATAAGGCAGATCGTCAGAGAAGAGCTGCTTCGATGTCAGCAGACCTATCAACGCCCCAGCAATTTTCAGGATGCATACGTAAGTGAACCAGAATGTGAGCGGACTCCTGTTTCTCTTCCGCCATGGCAACCATCGATCAACGCAGCAGACACTAATGAATATTAAGGCACACGGCAGTCTGGATTCTCACGTCAAACACCGCACGTTAAAGAACCCCAGGTGGTCAAAATTTCCGGAGCCCTTCACTACGGCGTCTCTCATAATCATTTGGTGATTTTGGGACGTTACACCCCACAAATCAATCAATCAAATCTCATGTCAAACACCTCCAAACTACGAACGAAGTTTTCGCCCGCCTGTTTACCCAACATCGTCTGCCTACAGTGCCCCTGAAGGGCGGCACCACTATCCCATGCCTTCCGAGAGGAGTCGTTACTCTGAGCAGCCACGTGCCCCTCGACCAATTCCTCTGTGCTACAACTGTGGCGTCCCGGGTCACATCACACGTTTTTGGGACCACCGCCCATATCAGCGACAGTCTTGGTACATGTCTCGGCAATCTTTCGACCATCCGCTCTCCACGTCATGGAAACCACGCGCACCTACCGGGTCACGCTACCCCTCGCCGGCTTCTGATCAGAAGTTTGACGCCACTACCAGCTTTACGTGCTCCAAGATCACCGTTGCCACTGCAACGCGCACGGACACCACCGCCGGAAAACTAGTTGGTGCGGCTGAGGCCGCGAGATCACAGGCGCTATCTACAGATATACCCCGGTCAGCGTTTATATTGAAGAACAAAGTTCATGTAGTTGTCGATGGAGTGGCTACTATGGCACTTGTGGATACAGGCGCGAGAGTTTCAGTGCTGAGTGTAAAATTCAAGAACCTGCTAGGACCTAAAGTGATGTTTTGCCTGAACCGTGGGGTGACACTTCGTGGTGTAAGTGGTGACGTGTTGTGTCCGGTGGGATATTGCACTGCAGAAGTCTCGCTGTGTGGCAAGGTGTTTTGCACAGAGTTTCCGGTTATTCGGCGGTCTACACATGACGTTATCTTGGGTATCAACTTTTTGTGTGAGTGCGTGGCAACTGTAGACTGCAGAAATGGGCACCTTTCCATACACTGTACTTTCCCAATGGCGCACTTGGAAAATTCCTGTCTGGATGAGTGCATCTTTTTCGTCTCCGTGGACACAGTCGTTCCTGCATTTTCTGCTGTGTGTGTTTCCGTGACATGTTCCAGTAACAACTGTGGCACGTTTGATGCCACGTTCGAACCAATTCCCTTGGCATGCTTGAAAAAGAACATCCTCATTCTCCATTGCATAGTGTCAGTCGTTGATGGACGGGCAGGTGTGGACAATGAACAGTTCCATGGAGCCTGCAGTTTTGCCAGGCGGCATGAAACTTGCAGTATTTAGACCCAAATCATCTATGACGCTGGTTGCGCTTGTTGATGCTAGAAGCCAAAATGAACGTCTAGACTGAGGGTGCCCAATTGCTACAAATGGTCAGCAAGTCACTTGACCAAAGCGAACGTCATACACTGCTTGACATTCTATCTAAGCACTCGAAGGTGTTAAATTTTTCTAAAAACAGTGAAAGGCCCTTAATTCCAGCGTCCCGTATTCGCCATCAGATCCACACCGAGTCGGCGCAACCCATTAGGCAGAAACCTAACAGAGTGGCACCATCGGAGCGCAAGATCATCGATGAGC